TACAGCCCTCTCTAAGCGGTTTACAGAGTCAGCATATTGCCCCCAAGAATCTGGCTCCTCATTTTACCCAAGTCGGAAGGATGGAAGGTTGAGTCAACGTTGAGCCCATCAGGATCAAACTCCTGGCAGTCAGCAGAATTAGCCTGCAATACTGTATTCTAATCACTGTGCCACCACGGCTCATGGAAAGGTTGGGGACTGTTGTTCTAGAACTTAAACTCCGTCTGATTTGGGTCCTATCCTGCGGCTCTTTTGCTAAAACATCATTAGCATTTCTTTCCTTCTTTCCAAGGTCTATTTTTTTCTTTAGAACCACTGCATTGCCCTTTGCCGTTCTTAACATTTACAGTAAAACTACAGTAAATCATGGCAGGCAGGCAGACAGACAGGTGCGTGCGTGTGCATGCACACAATATAGAATAAAGAGTGACAATTTATTTTATATTTTTATTTTGTCTTGTTCTAGTACATTTCGTGCAAATTAAAATCCTGAAATTGTATCTTTAGTATATTTTGGATCTGCGGGAGTGGGGGGGGGGGGGAATTGCCACTAAGGCAAGAAGCTGTAAGGAGCTAACATATTGCATTTGTCCTTTCCTTTCCCAGATTTTCCAAGATATTTTTGGCATGGCTCTTATTATTTTGGTAGCCATTGGCTTCAAGACCAAGCTTGCTGCTCTCACTCTGGTCATCTGGCTTTTCATCATCAACCTGATCCAGAATGCCTTCTGGCACATCCCCAACTACAGCCCCCTTCATGATTTCCTCAAGTATGACTTTTTCCAGACCATGTCTGTCATTGGTGGCCTGCTGCTTGTTGTGGCATTAGGACCTGGGGGAGTTTCCATGGATGAGCACAAGAAGAAATGGTGAAGATGGACTCTGTACTATTTAGTGGGAGGGAAGGGGGGGGGGGTTGGAAGGAAAAAGGGAGAGGAGATAAACTACTGCTGTTTCAACCTGTGTAATCTTTGACTCTCTTGAGATTTATCATAGTTCACAGTTGCCTTATCAGGGTAGGAAAGCTTTTGTTTTCCACCCTGTTTGAGACATGTAAATTAAAACCAAATTATATATATGTATATGTATCGATCTTGTGGTTTTTAAAATTTCCACCTTCAAAATCCCACAACTTCCTGAAGCATTTTTTTAAAAAAAAAAGATTATATCATATTATTCAAACATATCTTCAGACAGAGAAAATTAAAAGTAACACAAGATTTTTACTGTCTTTGGATTTGAGCTAATAATGGAATGATAAAGTTTACATTGTGGAAATAACTGCAGTGCCATTTTAAACTGTGGGAATAATAAAACATGGAAAAATTCAAATAGAGGCACTTTTTACATCTGCTGTTACCATCTGTTATTTTAATTTCCTGTCTGTTTTCAGAATACAGATAGAAGGCTGCATGACTATGCCTGCATTTGTTGCATTAGGTTAATATGTGACAGTGACGTGCGGTCAGCTTTAGCCCTGGTGAGGCACTTTTTAGACTTGTGGACTTCAACTCCCAGAATTCCACAGC